GTTTTTTTCTTTTCTTATTATAGATATTTAGTTTTCTGGTATTGTTGTGCTGGGACAACATAAACTTGTGTGTCCTGTCAACCTTTAGTGAAGTCCATCTTCAAAAAGATATTTCATCTTTTCCCTCTTGATTCTTTTCCATCTCTCATAGGATTTTAAGAAACACTTAGTATATCAAAATGTTCATATTTATGTCTTATAATGCTAAGAATTCACTGACTACATTTCTTCTGTAATTTTCATATAACCTATTTTAATTATTTTAGATGTCTTTGAAAGTAGTAGTTTTATGGCTTTAATACAATTTGGGATTAGAGCAGAACAATTCAGAATGCAGACTATTGCAGATGAACGACTGTTCAATTTACATTTTTTTTTTAAATTTAACTATGGCACGAAAGGGATGTACCCTTAGCAGAAACTGTGTTTTGAATTATGATACTTTCCCAGGATGGTGATATACTATAGTATACTTTCATGATGCCAGGTTGCAGCTCTCAGTCTGCCCTGGGCTCAGGAGGGTGAGCAGTCATTACTCTGCAGTTACTAACCTATTGTGGAGTAGGTTAAGTTTCCTAAGTGAACTTTCAAGATATTTTTGGTGTACAATGGGTTTATCAGGATGTAACCCTAGCAGAAATTAAAAAGCATCTGTTCAAACAGACCCAGTTTTGATCTTTGACAGTACCAATTCTTAGTTCTGTGACTTTTGTTGAATTCCTTACCTACAGATTTTTTACCAACAAACAATGCTTTTACCAACAAACAATGCTTTACATGAATGAACTAGTTTAAACTAGTTGAGAATTAAACTAGTTCATTCATGTAAAGGATTGTTTACTATAATACAGATCAAAGTACATTTTATTAATGATACTAGGTGAAATAGTCATTGTTTCCAAAATTTTTGAATTAAAATTTTTAATATCAATTGTTCAATAGGAAAGCTTCAAGGTTATAATCTCAGGGAGTATGTTCTGAATAATCAAGTCTTTTTTTTTTTGATAGTGGGGATTGAACCCAGGGGTGCTTTATTACTGAGCTTACATCCCCACCCTTTTTTCATTTTTTATTTTGAGACAGGGCCTCACTAAGTTAGTTGCTGAGTCTGACCTCATACCAGGGATATTCTCCTTCCTCAGCCTCCCAAGTCACTGAGATTGCAGGTGTGCACCACCACTTCTGACCAGATAATCAGTCTTTTCTGTATTAAAAGAGTTGTAGGGTTTTGGAAGTAAGAATGGGGCAATTTTACTCTTTGGGCCTAAATTTCTACTGAGGTGGCAAACTGAACTTTTGATCACACATTGGACTTTTACTGTGACAGGTAAGCCCTGTTAATTTTTATTTGGAGGAATAACTTGGGTGTTTTCAATCTCTGAAATGGAAAGCATCCTTGTTAATATTCAGGAATGCATGTTCTGTACAGGAAAATATGCCAATGGGGGACCCTTGGATATTTGCTGTTCAGACAAAAGGAACATCTATTATTACTTTTTAGGCACCACATGCTAATGTCCTGATATTAAAAATGTATCACTTCATGTGATAAACAGAAATCCCAGAGTTAAAGATAAATTGTCATCTCATGTAATACATAAATGAAATAATGACTAGGACCATTGCACATATCCCAATATGTTTTATGCTTTGATGCAATATTTCCTTTCAAGGCATATTAATTAGATATTGAATTGGAATCAAGAAGTCATTGAGTACATTGGAAAATTATCTAATGTGGCTATGTTTTTGTGGTTATGACCTATGTCTACAATTCATAATAAGTATAAAAGTCTCTGAACTCACTGGTCATGGTGGCACATGCCTGTAATCCCAGCAACTCAGGAAGCTGAGGCAGGAGGATTGCAAGTTCAAGGCCAGCCTTGGAAATTTAAGTGAGGCCCTGTCTTAAAATAAAAAGGACTGGGAATGCGACTCAGTGGTTAAGTGCCCCAGGTTCAATCCCTGGGACCAAAAATAAATAAATAAATATCTCTAGACTCTTCTATTGTATCACTTCTGTTTGTCTTATATTTTACTTCTACTTGTTTAATAACTGGTGATCATTCCCTTTAATTAGTATAAATTACAGATAGCAGGAATAAGTAGTACTTTTAAAAAATCATTAATAAGATATGAAACGATTAGTACTTGTCATGTTAACTACTTTGGCGAAAAGTAAAACATAAGTAAAAATTAATCCACATACCTATCATCTGGGCAAATCTCAATAGAATTCATATTTGTATATACAATAATAAAAGAAAGTGCACATTGACATTTACTGAGACTCCATGATACATCAGTCCTTTGTAAATAAAAATTCTCCTTACAAAAGGAAAATTTGTGTCCTGTTAGAGTTTTTCCTGTAGCAGCTAACTCTCAAATGGCCATTAATGAAAAATCCATAGTTTAGAATGGCATATTCTGGTACTCTTCCCTGCCTGTTCCTTTAAAGTAGTTATGCTGCACAGAAAAATCCCCTTCTTGAGTTCCTTAAACTAAACTGAGAAGCTCATGTAATGATACTGAAATATGTAATATACATTTTCTTAACTATTTTTATAGACACATTTACTATTCAGAGACTAAATATTCAGAGTATAAATTCTGTGTTCATTAAGGTGATATTTTTATTTATTCAGTGGTTGAGTAAAAGTTCTTGAAGACATGACTATGGGCAGGGACTACTTGCTGGGGGGTGGGAATTTAAAAGAGCCTGACTGGAGTTGGGTCAAGGAGAGAATCTTCGTCTTGCCAGTGGGTTACAAAGTTGTAGGGGACTAGTTGAAAGAGACCACTGAGGTGGTCACTCTCAATTCACAGGAAAAGAGTTATGCCCCATGCTGCCAACCCCACCCAGCACTCCCCTTAGGGTTTGTAATAAATGTAGTTAATGTTTCTGAAGGTGCGCAAGCAGCCCTAGGACCTGGGTGCCTGGAAGAACTTGAGCCTTTCCCTATATTCTTCAATGCTCCACCATGCTGGCCCAGCTCTGAATCCAAGTGTGCATTCTTGGGAGGGGAAATACAGGAGATGTCTTGTATTTCCCTGAGCTCATGGGAAAAGTTGAGCATCTTGAATTAGGAAGAAATCCACATTCCAGGCATGTGAAAAAGTGCAAGGAAGCTAGCTGAGGGAGAAGAGGTCTAAATGGCTGGCACTGACAACCAGCCATATTGTATGTACACTGTACTGGGAGTAGTCAGGGATGTTTCCATAAAAAGGGTGCATTTGCCTATAAATTTTAACTTTAATCCAACTAAATTTATGACTTTAATCAAATTAAATAGTAAAAAATGTATATAAAAATAGTAAATAATAAAAAGTAAGAAAAATTTTTCAATGGTGATTTCATAACTCATTTTGACTCACCTTTAAAGTGGTATCCATTTCACTAAGCTTTGCAGGATGTAGCAGATTATCAGTGGGTAATTTGGAGAAGAGATAATTTAATCAGTTGGTCTCCAAAAAGTAAATGTCTATAGAAGGCAGTTTATTTTAGAATTTTCAATGATCATGTTTGAAATATTTGAAAAATATCAAGTTAGATTTGTCCTTTAATTGTTAATTACATAACTTTTATGATCTGTATTCTCCATTCATCTGATTATTGGAAGAGTTTTCAAAACATTGGGCTTTCAGATAGATTAAGCTTTTTCACCTCCCTGTAATAAAAGATATTCTTTGCAATTTTAAAGCTCAAGTGTCCATTTCTGTTAGTGTTTGTGTTAGGATATAACAGCCTCGAGTTTATAACCTGGATTCTGAAAGGAAACTGTAGCAACAGTGGGTTGCTAAGCAAGTGTCTCAGCTAATTAAACAATGTACCTAGAATCATTCTGACCACCTGTGCTGCTCACCCATCATGAATCATTTAAAAAGGTTTTCACTTTTAGGTTTATCAAAACTTGCATTAGAAATAAATGAAAGTATAGATATCCTGTTTTCCATGATTAAAAAAGAAAATAAGAATTAAAAGATACAATTGTATAAAAACTGTTTGAATCACTAACAATGAAATATAATCATACCAATTGAGGGTTTCTGTCCAATATAATAAATCCTGTATTTTAGTCAGATTGCAAATTGTATCTCTCTTTTTTTATACAAATCAGTAGAAATAGGCACAGTTTAGCATATTCCTTTCATAGGCATTTTCACCCTGTTTTCGCTTTTCAAAATAAAATTGAGACAGAAGGAAGCCTATTTAACTTATCCAGATTGCAATTAATTTTGCTACTTGGATGTGTTAGAAAATGGGAGCTAGACCCTCTAGAGAGAGTTGTAAAGTGTAGTCATGGACCAGGTCCCAGACTGTTTAAATAATTATTTTTCTGTTTAGAGATACATCAATGATTTAAAACCAAGACAAGAGTGGGGAGCAGGAAGTAAGTGAATAAGTGTATATAGCCAAGGAGCCATTTAAAGCCTGACAACTCCATCCTATTACATATTTCAACTATGCTAATCCTGTAAGAACCCAGTCTTCATTTCCTGCTAATTTTCATCCTCTATATGTCATTTTTTTTCATCTTGTTTTCAGAAATCTGCTCCTTGAATAGAAAATCATCTTTCTGTAAACACTTAGCCAAGAAGTACTTGACTAATTTCATTAAACATGTTTGGAAGGGAAGTAAAATCTCTGTGAAGGACAAGTCAACTAGTATCAGTGATTTAGATCATCAAATTTCTCTTATCAAATCAGTTTTTCCCTTTGGCCATCTGATGTTTATTTTGTATTTCAATCTTTTATTAAATATTATTGACTCTCAAATATATTTGACATTCTTGTCCTTGAATAATGTGAAAAAGCTTAAAAATTTCAAAATATCTAGAACCATTGCATGTTAAAAGAGCTTGGTATCAAAATGTTACATGTCAACAAGGGAGCTCTCCTGCCGTCTCCTCAGGACTCTAATACATTAGCATCAGGATACCCAGAATGTGCTTTTTTGCATTTAGCTCAATATGCTCTTCTTTCTTATCTTTTTATCTAGCTGGAATGCTTGCTGATTCCTCTGCAAACTTCTAAGACTGAGACCCTGAGGAACCCAGCTGGACAATGCCGTCTGAACGCTGCCTCAGGTATACACTGTAGGATGATATCCTTGCTTCATCTATTGAGCCCTGAAATGGTCACACTGCACATTCCAGGACCAAGTACAGAGCAGAGGCTGAACACATATTTGAAGGAATAAACCAACCAGTGAGAGCTTTTATGATTTTGGTGTGATGGCACAGGACTGAACACTATTACCTAGTTGTTGGTCAATAATCTGAAGAATTTTCATGGTCCTTTGAATGCTATTACTTTTTTTCTTTTTCTTATTTGCAATAATAACCTCCCTCAAACAAAAAGTACACCACCGCAAAAGTATATGATTTTTTCAAACAATTCAGAAAACTATGCACATATATGAATATTATCCCCAATGAATATGACTTTAAAATGATTTAAAGCAATCACTTTGGGGAGTGCAATGCTTACTCTCAAAATTTTTATAACATTTACCTTTAATATTCACTTTTTAAATAGATACTTATTGAGCCAAGCACTACTTGGTTCAGAGGACCCAGCTATGAATGAAACAGATAAGGTCCCTGCCCTCATGAAATGGCTATTCCATGGGAGAAATAGACATTAAATAATCACACCATCAGCAATGCAAATATAGTTGTGAGAAATGCTCTGAAGGAAAATTACAGGATAAATACAATAAGGGAATGCCTTTCTGAGGAAGTGCTCTATGACCTGAGATCTGGAGTGGAAGGAGTAGCTTGGCATGTTCCAGAAACAGTGGGAGCCAAGAGAGTGCACTTGTCATATTCTCATTGGAGGTAAATCTTTATCATCCTCAGGGAAATAGTCAAAAGATCTTCAGAGCAATGAATAAGACATGTGATAAACATTAAGAATACATTTTTTAATATTAAGAATTGAGCATGTCTATTAAATAATGATACCAGCTTTTTTCCATGACTCTGAAGTTATTAAAGGTGACTAGTTCCAAGAATGTGTTCAGAAATGCTGGCGTTGCTATAGCAAGTGTAATGCCTCTGCTCTTCCCACATGAGTCCGCTGCACTTGGTCAGTTTTACTCAGTGGGGAATGAGGGTATATTGTGCAACATCTGGCAACATTTTGGGTTATCTACAGGAGTGAGGGTATGATTGGCATTTAGTAGGTAGAGGCCAAGAATCCTGTTAATCATCATACAATGTATATGACAACTCCCCACAGCAAAAACCATTCTAGCTCAGAATGTCAGTAGTATTGCAGTTGAGAAACCCTACCTAGATCTAGTCACCAACCAATATAGCACATGGGGACTGTGGTATCTATTTGCCACCACCTCAGCCAAGACATTTATTTCTGATTACCATTATCCGTGTGCATTCTCAAAATGATGCTGACTTTCAATTTGTCATTCCTGTTTTTATTAACCAATGCCCATTCTAGCATCATCTGTCATCTACAGTACAACATCTCATTTCTATTATAATGTTCTCTCCTGCTATGCTTTGACCCAGAACCCTCCCTTCTCATCTCTTACTCTTACATCATGTCAGGTAGAACTGTTTGTTGCAACATGATTAAATGTTCAGTTGTATCAAGTCCCCCATTCCAAAAGCTCTGTTTACCTCATGACTTCCTTGAACCTGTCCTCCCCTGAGGACTGCTTCTCTTGTAGCCCTCTCAAGTGGCAGCATTATTTATTTTATCACATCCCACATATTTCAAGGATGAGTGGAGAGATTGTTCTCAGCTTTGTTTCTAAATCATTAATCCTTAGACGAGTTGTTCAAGAAGACCATGACAAAGACATGCTGTTCTGAAGGTAGGACTCTTCAGCTCTCTTACTCGATTCTCTTCCTCACTTTAGTCAAGGTCATTTTCCCTTATTCACTGAGAACCCTGGCACCTGGCTTGCAGCCTTCCCTTTATAACCTTTCAGGGTCTTCAGTGTCAGCATGGAAGATCTCTTCAGCTGCATGGTCCTTGGACCTTCAACCTGCTTTATCTCCAAAAATGTTCTTCTCCTTCCACTGAACCACCCACTCCTATGGTCACACCTTGGGCCTTGTCATTTGTAATTGCTTCATTTTTGAAATCGCTACACCAGCCACTTTACTCTTCCAGAACCTCCTCTCCTGGATTGCTGATTTATTTACCCCCATTAGGACTGCACTGTGACATCACTACACTGTCTCACCTACTGGCCCTGCTTTTTTTTTTTCCCCCACAATCAAACCTTTCTTCTCCCCATTTTCCTTCTTAAACAGTTTATATTCTATAACTCTTGCTAAATCCTTAATTTCTTGCATTCCTGATATTTTTCATGCATTTATCTGAAAAAAAGCTCCTATTCAGATGAGCCAAACTATCTGTATTTCACGCCTACATTGTCCATTGGAGACCAGTTCAGAAAATCTTTAGATACAATAAGAAAAAACATGCCCAGAGGTTTAGTATGTGTTTGTGGGCCACCTATTTATTCCCTGCTATTCAAGGGGCAATCCTTTTCTACAACTAAGCCCAATATTGCTTATCTGCTTTAAATTCCATCTTTCTTATTTTCTTGGTGACTTGTTGGTTATAGCAGAGCTGTGCTTCTACTACCCCTCTGTGCATATAACCCATAAATTATATCTCTAGCCAAGACTTCTTTCTGAGCTCCATCCATGAATCAAACTATATATTTGACATCTGCTCTTGGGAGTCTTAAAGACAACTCAAACTTAACATGTCCCAAACCAAACTTATCATCTTCTTCTCTGCAGTTCAGATCCTTTTAAACTGGGAATAAAACAGAAATATAGACATCTTCATGGTGACCTCCTTCCTTCCCACCTCCATATTTAGTCCACCACCAATGCCTCTATATTTCTCTCAGAATAGCTTTCAAACCCATTCATCTGGAACTCTATTCCCATACTCCAGTCCATGGTCCAAGTCCATAACTCATCTGAACTATAGCTGCAGTCCAGAGCTGCTCTTGTCTACCCCTGTCTCCCTTTCCTCTCTTGATACTGCAGCTTGAGTGACTTTTTTTCTGTGACTTCCCATGACTCTTAGGATAACCTGACCAAGATACCCTCATGAGTGGGCTCCAGCCTCTGCTACTTTGGCCTCACCTATACCAGGCTCTCCCCTTTCCTCAGGGTTCTAGCCATTAACCATCTGTAGACATTGTGTAAGGGTCATTCTCCTCTATTCCACAGGATCATAGCATTTGCTGTTCTTTTGTCTGGAAAATTTCCTCTCATCCTTTTACCAGGGTAATTTATTATGTCCTTAAGCTTGCACCTCCAGGAACTTTAGGAAGGCCAGATTACTTGATTAATGTGTAACTGCCTAACTAAACTGAATATTCCATGAGGACTGCTGCCACATCTGAGTTTGCTCACTGTTTTTTCCCTGCTACCAACAGGCTGAATAAATATTTGTAAGATGAATGAATGAGGCAAGGAAGGATACAAAACTGTTCATATACAATTAAATTCCTTTCTGTTTATTATTTCTTAATCATTCTCCATGATTTCTTTTTGCTATTATAATGGCCATTGCTATCAACTGTAGAATCGTAAAAATTTATAAAGTATTTTATAAAAAATAAGATTAAGTTCCATTACTTTTAGCAGCCTTCCTAGATAAATAAGTAGAATTATTTTCGTATTAATGTAAGGAAAAAGAAAGGATTAAGGCTGTTTATACAACTTGGCTGTTTTTGACATGTAAGAGTATAACATCTTATTGGGACCCTTACTTGAAGACTACTTGCATGTTCTTGTATATAGAAGTAGTAGGCAAACACTGATATAGAAATTCAGTTGAATTTTCAAATTTGAAATGCAGATGTTTAAAACTACATAGCCATTTTGGAATTTATAACATAAAAAGTGATTGAACTCAGCCAAATTTTATTCTATGAAAATGAGACCCTGTGGGATTTCTGTGATGAAATTATTCCCTTTTTGAATGGAGGTAGTGACTAGCACTAATGCAGTGACTTGCTGTGAGTAGGGTATACACTGTTATGAATTTCATGCTCTGCATTCAATTTATCAGTTTTTGCCATCCATCCAAGAATGAAGGTTACAGGCTTAAAGTCATGAATACTACTATTCCCCAAGACCTCTCTTATTACACTCCCCATTACTGATGCTGACATACAGTCAGTCAAGTGGTTGCTCCCTGATGTTACTAAAAAGCAATGTGTAGCTCAGGGAGTATAGGCTTCTCACTGTTGCACCAGGCCCAGGCTTGGCTCAGGAGCCTGATTGGGGGTCACCGGAAGTCCTAGTAGGCTTCAGGTGAAAAGAGATAAAGGAACATAGCTTTCTAGGAACTTCCCAATAGAACCATAATAGGAAGCATACATAATTTGAAGTAGTCACATTAGAAAAAAAATGGTAAAAAGAAACAGGTCAAATTAATGTTAATTAATTTATTTTATATAAACAGGTCAAATTAATGTTAATTAATTAATATATTTTATATAAACCAAATATACCCAAACTATAATAATTTAAACATGTAATCAATATTAAAACATTAATGAGATATTTTTCATTCTTTTTTCATACCATCTTTGACATCCTGTATAGATCTTACACTAACATCACATTTTTATTTGCGAGCCACCTAGGGAGCTATGTGTGACTAGTGGCTTTCATGTGAAACAGTGCAATTCATCGGGTTCTTGTAGAAAAGGACATTGGAGTTGCATTGGGTAAGGCAGGCCATAGAAAAGGACATTGAGTTGCATTGGGTAAGGCGGGCCATAGAAAAGGACATTGAGTTGCATTGGGTGAGGTAGGCCACAGCACTACCTGTGAATTTTGAGGTGGCAACAATTCTTTCATGGAACATTTTTCTCAGAACTTGATTGTTGTCCTTGGACACTCAAATCTGTATTCCCTTGAGAAATATAGTTGCTTCTTCATGTATTTTTCCAGGAATTAGGAAGTTTTAGGATATGTTTTTTTTTCTTTTGTTTCCCAGATAGTAAAAGGAAATTCCTCTAAATTGAAGGGTGTAGTTTGCTAATTTGGTGTGTTATAGATGCTGACAGAGAGCTAATTGCAAGTAAGTATCTGCTCATCAGTTAATTAGACATGGTACATGGCAAACTTTGATTCCTCTCCTCCCTGGCTTATGATTATTACTTGGTAAAGTGGGCTTGTCACCTTCCAGCAGTGTTCATTGGCCACATGTTCCTTTACACTGGAGGGTTGAAGTCTTTTGCAGATTTATATCTGAGAATTGAGTGGGAAGTTACTTTCGGAATACAATATTGACTTGTTGATTAGTGGGCCTTTATTTCTTGCCAAATGTTGGAGTATTTGTTTCTGCTTTTAAAGATTTCTAACATATTGGTTCCAAAATATTTGGGATCTTGTGCCAAGTGTTGTCTTAAATATTTAGCTTGTTATTTTCTTTAAGCTTAAATATTTCAAGCCAAGCTGAATGATCCTGTGAAATCGTGCAGCATCACTATTGTTTCAAAGTGGAGACCTTTCTCCTTTGCCAAATTTCATTTTACAGCTGCTCTTTTCCTGGCAAAATTTATTTACTCTCTACATATATATGAAATGCAAATACTGATTTAGGCTTAATAATAAGGACATGCATTGTGGCACTATATTTGGAAAATGAGTAAGGAAACATTTTAAGGAAATTGTTTTAATATATTCTGTTCCATGGCAAGTTAAATTTTTAAAAATCTATTTATTTAGTATTTAAGATGATAGAAAGGGGGAAAAATTCATGAAAGTTTTAAATACATTTTCTAAGATTGCAATAAAAATCTACATTCTACCTCAAAACTTTAAGTCACAGTATAAAAATTAATGTTTTGGAAGCATGATTTCAAACATCTATGATCTCATGTTATTATATTCATGTATGTTATTCTAAAGGGCTGATTTTCTGATTATTATACACAATATAAATATAAAATTATGTGGGACTTTTGTACCCTTTGTCCCCCTCAGGCATACATTTTGGAGCTCATATTTACAGATTATTTTTTTAAGCAAAAAAAGGAATAACTCTCAGTGTTATGTTTTCAAAATGTCTGCTCTTGGGCTGGGGTTGTGGCTCAGTGGTGGAGTGCTTGCCTGGCACGCGTGAGGCACTGAGTTTGATATAAAAAGTATTGTGTCCATCTACAACTAAAAAAAAATTAAAAATTTAAAAAACAATGCCTGCTCTTGAACTTTTGGTTTTTTTATCTGTAAAATAGAGCTAACAATACTACCTGCATCCTAGGGCTATTATGAAAGTTGAATGAATCAATAATTATAAATCTCTAAGAAGAGTTCGCTAAATGTGGTATAAGCATTGTGTTTGTTAAATACACAAAAGTGTCATCCTTTTAGGAAAGATTTTTTTCAAAGACTTTCTAAAGATGTACTTAGCTGTTATAATTTTTCTGTTACCATTCTGTTTCCTCATTTCTTCAACTGAATGATCCCGATTAATCTCCATTCTAGGCTTTACATAGGAACTTATAAAAATTATTTATGCTTCTGAACATGGTTTTCAATTAGTGATTTTAAGTGTTCCTAGAGCTAGAGCCACTAGATGATTGTTCAGTGACAGTCACCATTTCAAAACTCACTGCCACATTTTAACTAAAAACAATCCACCCACCTTCCCACGAGAGCTTCCTATATCATCACCTTCTGTCAAGTTATTCTCTTTCCACAGTTCTGACATTTCTGAGGCTTCCCAGTTGAAAATGTCCAATAGAGCTTACTGACTGCACTCTGGAATTTCATGGGAAGCATTTAGTTAGCTTTAAGGTGGTGATTTGTGCTTCATGTAATATACCAGGCAACCGGTGTACCTGCTGGGCAGAACCCTGTCAATAAACCAGCCATGAAGGCAAGGCTATGGCCACTCTGTGCTTTTCCTGAGCAGCCCTTGCACACTGAGAAGGAGGGACTGGATGCAGGAATTATCAGCACAGGAGAGGCAATGCTCAACCATCCTTTTGCTGTCTTTACTCAGCTTTAAGTAGAGTTTGCTGTCCAGAAACAGGGTTTCACAACCTGTAGCTTTTTTTTCCCTAATCAGCATTTGCTCACTTTTTCTGTATTTATTAATGAAGTATTATGTCTTGTGGGGAGACATCTTAAGTTACAAAGCTGGAGAAAGAATCAGTTAGAGTGGGAGTCACAGATTGGAAAGAGTCACACACACACAAATACATCAAGAGCAAATTTTGTACTCAGAGGTGTACATGCTGAGGGGATCAGGACCTAGAATTAGGCTCACGGGTCCAAGAAATGGACTAATACGAAGACACAGATGGATGGACACACATGAACACAAACTTAGAAAGAGGGGCACTAGTAGGAGATAAAAAGATGGGACAAAGGAAAGAATCAGAGAAAAGAAAACAAGGACATAGCACAGGGCTGGGATGTGGTAGAGCACTTGCCTAGCATGTGTGAGGCACTGGGTTTGGTCATCAGCACCATATGAAAATAAAATAAAGGTATTGTGTTCATCTACAACTAAAAAAATATTTTTGAAAAAGAACATAGCACAGAGGAGATTTTTTTAAAAAAAATGTATGAACGTGAAGGTCAAATTCAGTGCACTGGAAGCCAAGTTCCTTCCATCAGGGTGGAAAGATGGGATAGCATTCAGGAAGCAGGGCTGTTGAGAGGAAAAAAGTTGACTTGATTGTTCTCCTTTGTAGTATTCAAGAAATGCTGACAGGCCAGAGGCTCTGCCACTCAGAATCTCACAATGACAGCGTCCTGGCAGCGCTGAATCAGCAGAGGAGTGATGGTATCCTCTGTGATGTCACCTTGATTGCTGAGGAACAGAAATTCCATGCTCACAAGGCAGTCCTAGCAGCATGCAGTGACTACTTTCGGGTAAGTTAAGGTAGTTTGTGTGACTTAGGATATCAGTAAACCAAGAATGACAGTGTTTCCCGATCTGTCACTCAAGCATGAACCAACTAGAATGTGTCTCCAGAATCGCAAACATTGGTGACATATGTTTTTTCCCTGGGAAAAATGAGATCTGGGGGCCCATTGAGATACATCCATATCTGGATACATGGCTGTTTGTCCCTATGGAAGACAGACATGTCTTTCACATCTGAGCCAAGGGGTATCTGGTACTTTACCCTCATTAGAAAATGTGGTATTGTAGTTCTCCATATGGGGGTGTGGGCCAGGGGAGGGGTGTTCCTGGATTAAGGACAAGAACAATCTGTAAAACAACTTCTTAAAAAAAAGTTCCTAAATATATGTAGTGTTTCTGATTTTTGTACATTTTTATGCATGTTCTATACATGTTACCGATGTTTTCTAATTATTCGTTCCTGGCACAGAATTGCAATTGGTCTCATAAACCTTAATGTTGACACATGTGACTGAGTAAGATATATTGTTTTGTTTAGTAGAACTCGGGAGTTCGATTTCCAGCTACTAATGATATGTGGGGCTCTGATGATCTTTTTGGGGAGAAGAAAGTGTATAGTATGTTTATAGCTGATTAAGTGCCATTCATTTAGCTTTTCCTGTGCTTTTGGCAGACAAGGACTTTATATGCATATCTCATTTAATCCTCATAAAACCCATCGTTCAAATGCAGATGAGTACTATTAAAATCACCATTTTATGTGTAAGGAAACTGGATCTCAAAGGTTAAATAATTTTAATAAATCAGAAAGTAAATAACAAGTCACACAGTTCCTAATTGGCAGATATGAAACTGAAAGTCATGTTTAATTCTTATGCTATTCTCTCTCTTATTTGATTATAAAAAGGACAACCTGGAAAATTATTAGCTAGGTACTAGTTTTTTTGAAGTATTAATTCTTAAATATTCATTTTTAGGTTCTTATAAAAATTTATTTTTTATGTTACTTTGCTAATTAGTGACCAATATTTTCGAAACATAATAAGTCTATATGCATGGGAATACAAATTTAATTGTGATTGGTTTTTTTAAGTCCTTCACCAAAGTCTCTAAGTGATATAAAAACCAACCCAGACTCATGGAAATCCTTTGGTTAATTTGGATATTTCCCATAATGATTTTGTGTTTCATGTTTAGAGACAACATCAACTGCACTCCATTGCAACTATTAGTGTTAGAGAATTTTCAAAGATTCCAAATGATAAAAGAAATCCTTTTAAAATTCTTTTAAATGTGACAAAACTGAGTAATGTTAAGGAAAAGAGGTAATTACTTGAAATTTCTATTTCTAGAATAAAAAAATAGGGATTTGATTCAAAACTCCAAAATGAAGCTGAGTACTTTATCTGTGAAGTGACCTTTTAGTTCAGTTAATACAGTGATCCATGTATGTACTCTCACATTGTCAGGTATTAATCTTCCAGAGAGGTTTTATTATTCAGAGGGTTTTTGAAACAATAAAATACTTTGAATTGTGTGCATGTTATGTAATATGAGTTTTGTCATCTCTTAGACTATAATATAGTCTTCTTGGTGCTTAACTTCTCTCCACTTAGATCTCTGCCTGTTGGGTTTTTAATTTAATTTTTCATTTTTAATTAAATTATTTAATTTTATTTTTTATTCTTCTTAGTTATATATGACAGCAAAATCCATTTTATATTTAGGACCCCCTTCTTATGGATATACACAATGGTGGGATTCACTGTAGCGAATTCATATATGTACTTAGGAAAATTATGTCAGATTCATTCCACTGTCTATTCCTATGTACATATATAAATATACCACAGTGAATCTCACAATCATGTACATGTGTAAGACAGTAACTAAAAAAACACTATAAGTAAATAATAGGTCAGTAGAATAGAGGGAAAGGAATCAGGGGTAGGAGGAAGGAAAGGGAAGGGGAAGTACTGGGAACTGAATTAAAACAAATTATATTCCCTGTTTTTATAATTATGTCAAAATGGATCCTATTATCATGTATAACTAAAAAGTACCAATTAAAAAGAGCCAGGTTGTGTTGCTATACTGAATAGATTGTGGTATAGGAGAGGATCAATTGAGCTCAGGGAATAGCAATCTTTTTTAAAAAAATATTTTTAGTTATAGATGGATACAATGTCTTTATTTTTATGTGGTGCTGAGGATTGAACCCAGTGCCTCACACATGGTAGGCAAGCACTCTACCCCTGAGCCACAACCCCAGCCCCAGCATAGCAATCTTTTATGATGGGTAGTAAATATGTCCACCCTTTGCTCTGGAGTGAGACTTCATCATACTGGACAGTAAGCATTCCCACACTTCACTCTGCAGAGATACTATATCAAGAATTTTGAGCAAACCTGCCCTATGCTCTGGACTTTTATAACCCTCTGTCTTCCAAGGCTGTTGGCTACAGAAACATACTTGAAAATAGAATTCAAAACAAAGGATAGTCATTGGTCTATTCACAATATATGCAGAAATGCTAGAGACCTTTGGAGAACTGTTTTCCAACAGCCACATGCCCTGGACTAGAATTATATTTGTTTCCTTGTGTCTTGTGCTGTACCCATATAAAACCTAGAAACAATATCCTGTTGTAGTAATTTCTAAGTATCTCATAACAATGATAAAGTTGCCTTTGTAAATCACTTTGTAAGTGATCAATAAATATTTATTAAGTGAATGAAGAAATGTTTTCTAATTATCATAGAGTTCCATGTATATTTCAATTCTTAATATCTTGAGTATTTAAAATATACAAATGACTCTTGGAGTTTTCCTTCTAGTGTTAATTAAGTACTTTGATACAAGTTACATTTTTGTACTCCATACTCTGATATCTAGAAAATTATTTTAAAGCTTAAGTACTTCTTGTTCTGTTCAAGAAGCTGGGACTCTCAGAGGGAGAAGGCTCAAACTTTGATGTAAACCATTTTCTTATATTGGTCTGAGAGTTAACATCAGTTTTGCTTGCTTAAAATATGAATAATGAATGAGCAGTTCAGCACAAAGTACTGTGATTTCCTGTGATCATTAACATTTGAAAGGTTTAAAATCACATTCTTGAGTAAAAAATAATGACTTCAAGAATTAAGATTATCGACAATTTCAGTTGTGTGGGCACAGCATGGCATTAGTCAAATGCTGTAACTGAATCACAGCAGGAACTTCTTTTCTGAGAGAGCAGAGCAATGGTAGAAGAAGAAAGGAATGGACTTAGAAGTCAGGTCTGAGTTTGAATCAGGGACTCTACCTGTATCTGTCTGTTTGCCATTGTTTCCCACCATGCTTGGCAAATAGCAGGTTTTCCCTTAACAATGTTTTCTGAGTAATTCATCCTCTTCACCATCTATGCTATGAATATAGGAAGGTCTTTTTATTGCTGTGCACCTTTTGTTTTTTAAATTGATCTAAATTGATGACCATCAAACAGAGCTCTCATGGGTTATATAGAGATTTAAATGGGAACAAATAAGGTAAATAAATCACTCGGCTCAGTGACTAATGCACAGCTGAATTTGAATAAACAGGAACTGTTTCTCTCTTTTGGTTAACCTGTGACTCTTGGCTGTGCCATGTTTGGGTGTTAGTGGGAAGAAAGTTCAATTCATCTTTATGCTCAGCTGGTCACACCTTCACTCACCTTTTGATTTGCCAGAATAACCTTTGATTCCACCTTTTCCTATCTTTTCACTTTTTAATCTGACACCCCTTCTCTCTTCTTAGAACATTCCTGTAACCACTTATCTTTTCTTCTCCTCTGATTGTTCCTTTCCAAATCCTGGTGCAGGACTGTGTGATTTACTTCCACCTCCTGCTTAGGTCCTCCTGACCACCTGACTGACTACTGCCAGACCCCTGGGATGACCTTCCAGACCTTTAGGTATCATTCATCTGACCCTTTGTTGTCTTCTGCTCATTCAGTGTGGTGGCAACACCATTCTCCAGATACCTCTGGATCTTTGCACTCTCAGCTTTGCACCTGTAACTTCCTATTGGCTTCTCAGTCTATCTTGTAAGGTTTATCACAGCCAACAACAAGGGTACTGGCTTGCACAATGCCTGATCTTAACTATCCTCTACTATTTCCCTAAAGTCATATGTAAGGTACTCCTTTTATCTCCTTCAAAGAATTAAATATTATGTACTATGGGTTGTGGTCACTTTGCCAGTAACATTTCTGAGGGGGACTGTGACTAGCCAAGGACTAATGAAGCCCATAAAAGTACAGTTGAACACAAGTGAATTGAATCAGATATACCGGGAGAGTTAGGGGCCTTGTGATCTAGAAAGTGTGTAAGAGGTGAGGCTGAGGCAGCCTTTTATCCCTTATCTTTGGAAGCCCCATTGACCCTTGAAGGGAGCATGTAAATTTCAGGGCTCCAACATGGGCAGCCCTGGGCTACAGGCTACCCTGTAGGTTCTGAAGGCTGTTGTTTTATATTTGCTGTCTCCAGCTTAAATCCCCATGAACGCCTGCACTTTCTGGCCAAGGAAGCAGATGTCTTGGCTATCTAATGTAGCTTCATATATGTGTTGGTAAAGTGATTCAAATATGACATTTGGAAAGTTAAATATTTGAGCTTCTTTTTCTGTTAGAGCCAGAGTGTACTTCTGCCTGTGTAATTTTTAGACTTGAGAGAAGGGCATCAAACCATGATATTAAAAAGCAAAATCTTATGTGCCGTGCATTTCTGTAATCATATTCCCTAGTCATTACTTGATTGAATGGCATAAAAGTCCATTATTATATAATTAAAAATAATTTTTTTTCAATTCAATAAGTATTTGTTACATACCTGCTATTTTCTAGACATCAAATGGATTCATAGTCTGTTGGGAGATAAAGATAAGTGAACAAATGACTGCTACATAATGTAATTGCTTACAGGATTTTGAGGTTTGGAATGGTGTTTTAGGCTTAAGCTTTGCTTTTGTCCCTCAGTATTCTCA